AAAAATAAAGTAATGGAATTTTTTTTGGCACCACCCAAAAAAAAGGCTGAGAGATGGAAAAGTAACCCAAAAACGGTACTCCATAAATTTTCACTAATTGTTCCTGCTGATACTTGGGTCAAAAATAGTTGATATTAAGTTCCAAAAACGACCATAAAAGCATAGCCTGACGCGAAAAAGAATGGCTAACCAATTGCAGTTGCAGCTCGCACAAGAACGCTCTTTTTCCCATCAACTTCCTTCAAATGCAACATCCCAACGCCTAATTTTGTATACTGTTTCTCCACAAGTTTGAACACAGAGCACCTGCAACAACAGAAGGTAAATACTGAACATCGTTCAAAAATTTCATGAAAGATAATTCGAAAATACACCAAGAATGTACTTACTTGGATGAAAATGTTGAGCCAGGCTCCTCTATTTCAACCACTTCGGCTTTCGGTGGAACGTATTCTTCTTCTGAAATCAAGACTTGAAATTATAAAACACGAAGAAAATCAGAAAAGAACTGCTATCTCTCACCCTCTCCCTTCTCCTCTACTCCCTCAGTGCTCGACTTGGGCAATGCACCAAACGAGAACTTCAATCCACCAGCAGCCGCGTTGGTAGTTGTTGTGGTTGATCCAAACGTTGGAAAAGTAAGAGTTGGTCTAAACAACAAAATACCAACTGCATACTTCACATTTAGAAGAAAACCAAATCCGTCAAAATTTCCGATATAAGAATCATTTACATATTGAATTTGATTTGAATTGAATTAGTAATAGAAAAAATTCAACTATTTCAACTTCAGCGTCATTTTAAAGTCAAAAAGCTTTACATCTAATCACTCTCGTATACAAGATAAATGAGGGACATAATTAAATATGCACTCCTACAAGACTTACTTTTTCTCGCCCTCTTTTTCAGCGTCTTTTGCACCTCCAAACGAAGGGAACGTCAAAGTGGTTCTAAAAATGTTTACAATAGTTCTAGCAATATTGTGTTATACCATTTCATGTGGTCCTCAACGATAGCAGACCCTTCAATAATCTGGAACTTACTTCTTTTCACCTTCGTCATCCTTTTTAGCTCCGAAGGCGGAGAATGTTAATGCTGGCCTGGAAGAGGAAAATCTAGAGCAAAACAATCATTTTGTCAGTCTCAAAAAGTCACTCCACCATCCACCACATATACTCAAGGATAACAAAGACCTACTTTTTTTCTGAACTTTCCTCATCTTTCTTCGCACCAAAGCTCGGGAACGTCAATGGTCTGCAATTACGCGATTTCAATCCAAAAACAATCACCTTTGTAACGCTACTAAAATCACTTTTTCTTCTCTAGAACCTCTGAATCGTCCTTCTTATTGTTATCAGAAGATGTCGACGAAGTTTCTGATCTAGAACAACATATTAAGGTATGTTAAATATACAAAGATGATCTCGCGAGGAAACCGGCAGAAACTTACTTGTTATCCTTTGCCGTACCAAAGGCCAGCGGTTTACCATTGCCAAACGATAAAGGTGGAACGGCTCTGAAGAAAGGATAGTTAGTATAAAGAAAAACCATAGGGTAGTAAGAGATTTCTTCCATAAATTCAAACTGAACTGTTAAGAAAGGCGAAAACAAGAATAACGAACTAACACCAAGACCGGCTTCACAATAACATACAACAGATTAAAAGATGCTTGACCCTATATACTGAGTTTAACCTAAAGATTGACTCACAAGAAGTTCTTATCTTGATCTTTGCTTTTATCCTCCTTCTTTTCAGATTCAAGACTGCTCACTGGCTTCGAAGAACCAGACCTTAATCAACTGGCCTCGCAAAAACAAACTCGAAATTTTATAACCTACTCATTGTCGTCCTTCTTCTGACTTGACCAAAATCCTGGGGTGGGCTTCGGAAGAGTTTTTGTGGGCAGTGGCACATGTGCGGATGAGACAGCTTCAAAGTTTAGTCACCACTTTTTCACAAAAAAAA